AGGGCAATTGAGAGAGAGATTTATAATCTGGCCCTGGGCCGTGGTAGAGACCGGACAGAAGGGGGCCGAGTATGTTTTATGCCAAGCTAACCTGGCCTGTTCAGAGGCGGTCTTGCTCGGTCGAGGCCCAAGACCATGTTGGGACCGAGCTACCTGGGCTTGTCTATGCCCAGAGTCAGTCTTGCTCGGCCAAGGTTCAAGCCCCGTGTTTGGGCCGAGCTCACTTTTGCCAAGATGGTCTCCTGCCAACCCGGGTTTCATGGGTCGCACGTTTAGCTCGGCGGGAAGGCCTTCTGTTTACCGTCTCAACATGTCTTGACCTCGACTCTACCGAAATGCTACCGAGCTCGGTTGCTATGGAGCTCGGCGAGCAGCTTACTCGGACTTGTCACGCAACCCGGTTGTGTGAGGCTGAGGTGATGCCGCCAGGCTGCCGAGTTCCCACTAATGTTGTCTGGCGGTTTGGTTAGGTGGTGTTAGCTTGATTTGTGCTGACAGATAAGAAAGTAGCTCTACGTGTCAACAAACTAGTGGAAACAGAATTGAGCGTAGAAAGTATATAAGCATGACTGTGCCCCCCCATGCAGGATGGAACATCATTTTGGTAAGAAACACTCATTGTGATTTATCTCTCTCTTCCTCTCTCTTCTTGAGTGTGTGTGCTAACTTGACCGTCGGAGGGGTTTTCCGGCCACACACCGCCGGATAGCTCACCGCCGTTATGCTCGTAGGTCGATCGGATAGACAAGGAGCTTGGACGAAAGGAGTACGGGTTTCGCGGAATATTTGCTCCCCGTACAGTTGATATATGTTCCTCGGTATAATTTGTAATCAGGTTGACAAAGGGATGTCAAGCTTTGCAACAAAGTGAGGAAATGATATCGAAATATTCATTTCAAGAATATGGCATTGATCAGGGAATTTTGAACTCACAGTGATGAAGTAAACAAAATCAAATTAAATAATTTTATAGTATATATAATATAGTATTTATGTATATATTGATTTATGTTAATTTAAATAATTTATTTGATATCCCTGTTGTGGGATTTAATATACACACTACATACTATAATTTATATATTATATATTAATATTGATATTAATAATTAGACTAGGTAAAGTCTCAATGACTATTTCAAAACTGGGCTCAATTGATAAATCGTCCTAAAAATTTAGTATATAGTTTATATTTATATCTATATCTATCTATCTATATATTATAATAGCATAAGGCTCTATAAACTTTAAAGTGTCAATTTAAACTTTCTAATATATATATATATATATATATTTTTATATAACTTTGAAAGTTAAGAAATATACTTAATATAAAAATATTGGCACATCTAACCATATCTATAATTTTGAAATTTAAAAATCTTTATAAAAAAAAATAAAAATAGCCACATCTAATTCATATATAATTTGAAATTTAAAAATTTTAAGAGAATTTTTAAATGTAACTTTAGTCTTATATAATTTCGAAATTTCAAAATACAAATACAAATTTTTATTGTTTATTTTTGAAAACTAAAAATTACATGTATCATGTAAAAAATAAAATAAAATAGGGGACTAAATATTTTTAGCCAGTTTATTGATTAAAAATGAAATTTTACATATAAATGTTAGAGAAAATTTAATGTGTTGTACATAATTTTATGCAACATCTAAAAATACATGTATCATGCTTAAAATTACATGTGATTTTAACACTATCTTTTATGGAGACTTACGTGTAACTCTTAATAGGTGTATTTATTGTCTAATAGATCCTTTGGTAACTAATAACATTTTTCGTTAAACACTATTAAAAAATGTTACTAATTATTAATTTTCAACGACAGTTTGAAAATTATCACAAAAAATGTCGCTAATTATAAGTTTAGTGACAGTTTAAAAAAATCGTCATAAAAAGTCATTAACAACAGTTTGAAAAATTCGTCACCGTTTAAGAAAAGTCATTAATCATCAATTTTTAGCGATATATGCAAAAAATATCACAAAAATTATTATAACAACGATTTAATTATGACTTATTTTCAATTTATGAGAATTAAGTCTAATTGTAGGACATATTGGTAGTTTACCGTATCTTTTAACTATATCTACCGCTTTCAAGTTGCCGATCAAACTTTTAACTATATCTACCGCTTTCAAGTTAAACAAACTCATAAAATATTATATATATATATATATATATATTTATCTTTTCATTACTTTTTAACACTTTCATACTAAACAAACTTAGCCTAAGGATTGAACTTGAGCCAAGGATTATGGGCATAAAAATTGACTCAAATTCAATTTTTAAGTTACTTTCCAATGTATGCACTTTCTCTCTAGCTTATGTCCATCACAACTTGAGAAATTATGATATAATTTAAATATAAAGTTTAAATTTATTATTACCAAATGTTTCAACTAATTAACTGTTCAATTTTTTAGATCAGGCATATAAGGCTTGGGTTAGAACATAGCCGATAGTGTAGGCCAAATTGATCTTAGATAGTTGTTTTATACATAAATATATCAAACTATTCTTGTAATAGTTTTAACCGTAAATACGTAAATTTATAAATTTTAATCAGTACGTATAAACATGTACATATTTCTTATTTTATCATAAAAAAATAAGAGGTATGCATTTACTAATTTAATAAATGGGTCAGTTGGCCCATGAGTTGAGTGTAGACTAATGATAATTTTTTAATGATTAGGTTAGAGTCAAGTTGGTGTAAAGAACTATCCAACTTTTAACGTCAAGTCCAATTTTAACTCAGAAGCCAATTCTTATATGTTTTATTTGAGAATTATAACCTAAGATAAAGTATAATCTTTATGTTTTAGTAAATAAATTTTAAGTTCTACAAAATAAACAAGGGATAATTAATACATTAACAAATAAAATTTACTATATCAACTCTAACATAAGATAAACCAAAATTACAAAACTCATAACATAAAATATATTTATATTTAATCATAAATATAGTATTTAATTTAACTTATTTGTGTTTAATACCAATTAAATTATGACATATATTTCTTATTAAAAACTTTAAACACATTTAATGACATAATAAAAAAAATTATTTAAGTCGTGAAAATAGCTAAAATTTAATAGGGTAAATTATGCAAATGGTCCCTGTAATTTACAAAGTGTGTCAATTTGGTTCCTATTATTTTAATTTGCTCGATTTTGCCCCTTAATTTAACTGTTTGTGTCATATTGATCTAATAAATAACGGTCATTAGGTTTGGTGAATGGAAACTCAAATGAAGTGCCAATTTGGTTAATATAGTTTACACAATATGTTAATTTGGTCCCTATCAAAATCGAGCAAATTAAAATAACAGGGACCAAATTGACACATCGTATAAACTATAATGACCAAATTGACACATCATTTGAGCACGTGACGACTTTCCATCCACCAAACCTAACGGCCGTTATTTATTTGACCAATATGACACAATCTGTTAAATTAAGGGGCAAAATCGAGCAAATTAAAACAAATGAATCAAATTGACACATCATGTAAATTACAGGGACCATTTACATAATTTACCCAATTAAATTTATTCTAAAATAAATAAGATGAATAATTAATTTCATTATTATGATTTTATAAATAAAAACAAAACAATAATCATAATAAGCACAACAAAAATTCTTAAAATTATTAGGCTTTTTTTGTTCATTTTTTTATTTATTAGTATTCGTATATGCAACGCATACAAAATTATTCATTATTTTGTATGAGTCAAGTTGGAATTTATTTGAGAATCTATGTTAACTCAACCAATTTATTATCAATTAATGGTTAGCCAGAATCTTAATGGCCAAATGATGGGACACTATAACATATTAGAGTTTTAAAGACTAAATGTTTTGGTCTCTAAAAGTGAAAATTTTGTTGCAAAAGACATTTTAGGGACCAATTTCTATCGTTGTAAGGGTAATCGCTAAAAAGTCGTCCCGAAAAATCAAAAATAAGATTTTTAGCAACAAAATTTTGAAAATGTCACTAATAAATAGACTTTTAGGGACAAAATAATTTGGTCTCAACGTAGTTTATTTTTTTAGACAAAAAATTTGGTCCCAAAAGGATAATAATTCATCATTAATGTCTAATTTTCGTTGCTAAAAATATAGTAGCGACACTTTTTGCAACATAAATATGTAGTCCCTAAAAAATAATTTTGTTCCTAAATTTTGATATCTAAAATCTTAATTTTTTGTAGTGGGATGAAGGGTGGAGATAATATGAGATTAGCGATGAGAGGTTGCAGGTGGGAGTAGAGGTTGACTTGGGGGAAAGGTAAGAAAGGGAAGTTAAAAGTAGTGGTGATCGCATAACAGAAATGCTTTAAATAAAGCGTCGATGTGATTAGAAGAGATATGATGAAAATTGAAGAGATGATGGTTAGTAAATGGTGGAGATTTGATAAGGGTTATCGGGGGAATTAGAATCATACTCCTCTTAGAAAGTAATAGTTGACAAATTTATAAATTAATGTATAAGATAGTCATAAGTAGAATCATATCATTTACAAACTTTTCAATAATGACACATTTTAAATCACAAAACCCCATGTATAACATAGGTAAAATGCTTGTATATATATAAACAAAACGCGCTCATCATTGAACATATCTTCGGTGAACATAAAAAATCTTTATTATATAGGAAGGATTTTTTTCCTACTGGGACCATATTTTCCCCTAATAATAATGCATTTTAAAGATTAATCCTAATAAGATCAGCAGCAATTAAGGTTTCAACCTTTTGAAATCTGAATATCTCTAGTTGGAACTGCTTTGTAACTAACTTGGGAGTCCAAGAAAGATGTAAACAAGGTCCAAGTTTAGAATTGATTTTCTCATTCAAGCTAGTGGGAACCAAGCAGACACAAGAGTACATCATCTAAAACATATATGATTGAGTGGTAATTTTGGGGGCAGAAACATATTAAAAAAGTTCATGGCAAACCTCCAAATGTTGTCATGGGAAAACTGAGAAGATCCAAACTCCTTCATTGAACCGAGAATGTAACTATCAACATAATGATATCTACTAAATGCACCAAGAGAGAGAGAGAGACCTTTTGACAGATATGAGGAGAGTCTCAGTATCAACCTCAGCAAAACCAAACTTGAGGAGAAATTGAAACAAGGAATGGATTAAATACTATGGACCACACTCTCCATATCAACCTCAGCAAAACCAAACTTGAGTAGAAATTGAAACAAGGAATGGATTAAATACCATGGGCCACACTCTCCATGTGCATTTTATAATATGTTTGCTAATGTATCGCTAGCCTCTCTTGTACCAAGCTTGATAAAATATGTTTGGCTCGCTTCATGAGAAATGTTGAGAACACCTCAATGCCTACCCTATGTTTATATTATTTGTGATGAAGATTCTGGTGCGTGGAGGAGCGTTTGGCACACGAGACAATGGTTCTAAATCGCGATATCAGGTAACGTAACAGTATCGATTGCAGAATATCAGTGTCGGCAACTACGTATCGGAAATCAGGTTTCACAACCGTGAAATTTTAAAAATTATTTTACTAGTTTTTTAGCATTTTCTTTCCAATACCAGCCCAAATCGGTAAGCATCGGCCCGTCGTGACCTGTGTAACACCTTGTGTAACGGTTAAGATCATTATGTAATGGGAACCGGCCGATTTTTAGGCGATTTTCATTCTCAGTGCAATACTGGTGTGTTTGTAACGGTGCTTGTTTTTCCAATACGAACATACCAATACATAGCGTACTAACCATTTTTTTACATGAGACGCTAGTTAGAGCTATAAATGAAGCGTGTTGAACTAAATAGTAAATTGTTTAAATTTAACTTGAAAATTGAATAAGATTCAAAATATTTTTAAAATTGATTTTTTTGACTGATCTCAAATGAGCTTTAATTGAACAAATAACAAATCCAGTTCAAGAATTTCTAGCTTATCAAGTTGAGTTCGAAATAGCATTGTCTTACAGTGCTAAAACTTGTTAAAAGTATGAATAATAAAATTATTTTCCCTTTCTAGCCATTTACAACAATGCTATAATTATATCATTTTCTTACATCTAAACACATACCTATGGGAAGAGTGAATGTGAGTCCTACATAGATAAAATATTGATGAATATAGTTCAGCTTGTCTCAAGTTGAGATCAAGACTGGATCTGTCTAGTTTGATTCATGAGGTTCATTTTTTTGGTCCGTTTTGATAATCCAAACCGTTTAATATGTAGAACTCGTTGAGTACTACATGCCTGTAAAAAATCACGTTGATTGGATATCAATAGCTATGTGATCAAATCAGTTTTGTATAAAAAACAATGGACGGTGAAACAATTAACGGTTGATAAAAAACTGTTTTGTTCATATAGTTATCGATATCCGATCAACGTAATTTTTTATAAGCATATTGTACTCGACAAGTTCTACACATTGAACAGTTCGGATTATCAAAACGGGACCCGTTATGGGCCTCTACGGATCTAACAACACAATCCAATTCGATCTTGAACTGGACCAAAGCTACAGCTTATATGTATATATATTTTAATAACTCAATAATTGATTAAAAAAACAAATTAATTTGAAAAGCTACTGTCCACTAATAGAGACAATTTAAATCGCGACAAAATTCGGTAATGCTGGCCCCAGCACCCACCTTCACGTGGAAGGTTGCTAATAAAAAAAATAAATAAATAAATAAATAAAACAAAACAAAACAGTTAGAGTCTGTTTGGTAACCATTCCGTTTTCAGTTTTCAGTTTATATTTACAAAAATTTTAAAAATTGTCATAAAAACTTGTTTGATAATTTTTTTGGTTTATAAATGGTTGTCTCAGTTTATAAATTTGAGAAAAAAACGTAAACTCAAAAAATGAGTTTACGTTTTCAATTTTCAATTTTTTTTTTCCAAATAATTTTTTTTCCATTAATTTTTTTTTCAATTAGTTTTTTTTTAAATAATTTTTTTTTTCAATTAATTATTTTTTCAAATATTTTTTTCCAATTAATTTTTTTTTTCAAATAATTTTTTTTTCAATTCTTTTTTTCCAATTTTTCTTTTCAATTAATTTTTTTCAATTAATTTTTTTTTCAAATAACTTTTTTTTTTCAAATAATTTTTTCCCAATTAATTTTTTTTCAATTATTTTTTTAATTTTTTGTTTCAATTAATTTTTTTACTTAATTTTTTTCAATTATAATGTGTGTGATCCCATTGTCATAAATAATAAAAATAAATATAAATATTTTAGGCCTGAACAAACATATTTTTTAGTTTATGTTTTTAAAATTTTCTAAAAATTTTGTTCAAACCAAACGCGTTTGTAATTTATGTTTTTTTAAAAATAAATAAAAACCAATTTATAAAATTTTTGTAAATATAAATAAAAAACGTAAACGTTACCAAACGCTACTTTATAGACCAATAAGAAGGACCTCAGCACTCCCATTGGGCTCTTATGCATTTTCGGACAAAATTATGTATAGAAAATTTTTAAACTTACACATCAAACTACGGCCGTCAGGATGATGCCAACCCTCGGGGTTGGTGATGACAAATTTGTGAGGTAACCCATAACATCTAAGTTGACCCAAGAGGGTTGCGTTTGCATATTTTTTCAAGGAAACAACAAGAACTTAATATGGGCATGCGTGATGGGAAAATATTATTATTATATCTCTGGACTGTTGAAAATTTTGATTTTTTATAAGTTTATTTTGGGTAAATTTTGAATCTAAATTTAAGTGGATCCCAAATATTTTTTTGGGTGGGTCTAAAGAGATGACGTGTTTTTTGTCGAATGGCAAGTCACACGGTAAAAATGGTTCATCAAAATCATTTATGAATAAATGAGAAATTGACATCGTTTTCGAGTTTACGGAATAGGAAATTGAAGAAGTAAAATATGAGTTTCCTTGAAATGATTATTCCACATTGGAAACTTAAGAGATCTTATGTGTGTATATAAGTTCTTGGTGGCAACACTTGGGTTGGGCCCCAAGGGGCCCCTAAATTTGTAGAAGGGAGGAGTAATGGACAAATTGAACCTTGGCTTAAACCACCACACGCGTGCCACGCCCGGCCAGCCGAGCACGGGTCAAGTCAATTCTAACATTAATTTTTTGGACAAAATTTATTTGAATTTTTTCAAATTCTTATAAGAAATTATTTGAATTTCAAATTGAAATTAATTCAAATTTAAATTCAAATTTTTAGTCCAAAAATTGTGCCTCTGTCAAGTCCAAATTCCTCAACAAATTAATCTGTCCAAACATGTTTTGAAACTGTTTTGCACCGAACAGATTCTATTATTTCCAAACAAATTTAAATCTTCCCAGGCAGATTTGAACAGATTCAAACTGAGGTTCAACAGGTTCAAAATATTCTAACAAATCGGGAAAATTGCCCAACAGCTCTGGACAGTTTTATAACTACTTTAGTTAACAGATCTGTTGCAAATTGGTTCTGCATTTATTCAATTTGAAATAAGATCTGTTTAATTCAAATAATACCTGTTCGGACAGCCACAATTTTCCTATAAATACTAGCCATTTCCGACAATCTTTCGGATCTGAAAAATTCATTTGGTTATTGTCCAGATATTGCTCTTTTGCATATATTCTACATATTAGTTTAGGAAAATTTTTGAGAGTATAGAACACAAGGTTTTTGTTCACCGTACAAATTGTTTAGAGTGCTACTACAATTTGTGAAGATCATTGTATCTTGAGAGATAGATGCCATTTTTTCCGTAAGCACTGCAGCGGGACGAATCTGTCTTAAGGACAGAGTGTCATACACTCAACTTGATCTTTTAAATATTTATTCGGATCGATAAAATAAATTCTGTAAGTAATTTATTTATTTTTATTTATTTAATTTGTTTCAATTTATTTATTTTACAGAAAAGATTTTTCTACCATGGACTGACATTTAATAATTATCAGTTGAGTGAATAATCCAAACCACTGCCTATTTAAATTTAAACTGTCCACTAATAGAGACAAAATTAAAATCGTGACAAAATTATGTAAGAATTAACTCCAAAAGAAAATTTTTAAACTTACACATCCAAACTACAGACCTTCAGGATGATGCCAACCCTCGGGGTTGGTGATGAAAATTTTTTGAGGTAACACAGAACATCTAAGTTGACCTAAGAAGGTTGCGTACCTCAGTTAGTTAGAAGGTTAAATTTTAAGTTATTTAATTAATATTTGGTGTCAGTTTATTATCTTTTTATTGTACGAGTTTTGACTTAAGTAAAATTTATTTTAAGAGGTCGCGGCAAGTTTCTAACTTATAGTCTCTTCATTCGAAACAATTAATAAGACATCTTAATGATTTTTATAAATGGCGCTATCTTGGACCTGTAAGAGAGTAAGAATTTTCCTATAACAAAAAAAAAAAAAATTGATCCAAGAGGGTTGCGTTTGCATATTTTTTCAAGGAACAATAATAATTTAATATAGGCATGTGTGATGGGAAAATATTATTATTATATCTCTGGACTCACATTTCATAATTCTCAGTTGATTGAGTAATCCAAACTACTATCCATTTTAATTTAATTTAATTACTGTCTTGTTATCATTTGATAAGAAAGGATGTGAGAGTTTCAAATGCTTAATCTCAAATTTTTTTTTTTCAATTTAAATCAAATATAAAAAAATTATGTGTCTCACATAATTTGCATAATTTTTGAGTTAATTAATTAAATAAATAAATAACATTTTCCACATAATTTCAAGATTATTGCTAAGAGATAATCATTTCCTAAAATCAAATATAGAAACATGGTTTCTTAACCTTCCAATTTATTTGTCCATCTTCTAAATTATCTACCTAAAATCCTTCCTTAAAATAAATTAAACAAAAATCAATACAAATCTGTTTAATATAATTAATTTGGAAAACTAATTTGATTGTTTAACCTCAATTTCTTATTTTCCCAAGAAAAAAAAAAAAAAAAAAAAACTATTCAGGTGTCTCACATAATTTTCGAATCCATCTATACTATATATTAAGCAAAACGTGATTTTTAATGAGAAGGCCTATCAAAGCTCTACATGCTCAATCTCAATTTTTTATTTTTTCAATTTAAAAAAATAATAAACTATTCATGTGTCTCACATAATTTTCAAATTAAAAAATAAAAAATAAAAAAATCTGCAAACCCATCTCCTAAGATCATTGCCTAAAAGATGATCATTTCTTAAAATCAAATATAGAAATACCGTTTCTTGACCTTCCAATTTATTAGTCCATCTTCTAAAAACTCTACCTAAAATCCTTCATTCCTTAAAACAAATTAAAC